AAAATGTCATGCAATTCCCATAGTCACCTCTTGCGACACCCACAAGACGAAAGTGGGTCATGAATCGTTTAACGCTCCCATCACCAGACATACATCAAGCAGTTGTCCTGCATAAAATATAAGTGACTAAGTTGACTGTCACATGACTGACACTGCATTAAATTAAAATTATTCTATTCTGTCATGAGAACTATTAGAAGAAATTACTTAATGCTTATCCTCAGAGAAATCACGGTAATAAATACTATAGTAGCCCATATACGCTACCCAATGCGTAAAGGCGGTCTTCACGGTTGTGCGTAGATGCTACTTACCAGCAAAATTAATGTTAGTAGCGGAAAACGAAATCTTTCGAAAAATTCTGTACCCATACTGTACACCACAAGAGAAGGCATTGAGAGCTTGGTAGTGAGGAAAAGTCGCAACTGGGTTGCCAGCCCAATGTCATAGACAAAAGTTATCTTCAAGACTTTGATGGCTAGGACATGTATAATAAATGTGAATGGATCGGGCAGTAAAGAGCGTATGTTGAAGACGAAGTGCGAAGGCCAAACACCATTTTGGGTAAATGAGGCAAAGTAGCGAGTTAGTTTGAATAAAACTTTATATGATAGACTTAGACCTTTTCAAGAATGTGCTAGGTGACAGATATATTTTATAAAGACATCCACTCACAGTGGGGCAGAGTCGATAGACGTACATGCGTGCATAGTCATTACCCTAGAAAAAGGATCAATATCGTTAAATTCTATAAAACAATATAATATATTAGCTCCTTACATATGAAATTGGCGTTTTGTACGGGAGGAATATAAAGTCAATTTTTTTTTGTGAAATATATTTAATTAATCAAAGTATGCACTGTTGTTATCTATGCACTTTTGCCATCTCATAGGTAGTTCATTGATCCCTTTACTAAAAAGAACCATGGACTGCCGCATCGGATTCGAAGTTGAATTTTTTTCCTTGTAAGAAGTTGTCCAAATTCCGGAAAAAATGGTAATCTGTTGGAGCAAGGTCCGGATGTCGGCGACATCCAGTACGGTGGATGTCGCAGACATTCCAATTGTAGCTCATCTAACTTAGTGGTTGTTTGTTGTGCAGTGTGTGGTCTTGCGTTGTCGTGAAGCAGCAGTGGCCTAGAGCGATTGACCAATCTCGGTTGTTTAGCAGCTAGTTCTTCCTTCATGGTTTGCAGTTGCTGACTATAGATTTCTGCCGTAATCGTTTGGCCAGACTTTAGAAAGCTCTAGTGAACGACACTGACGCTAGTCCACCTAACACTCACAAGTAACTTTTTCTGAGTCAATTTTCGTTTAGGACAGGATTTGGCTGGGTATCCAGGGTTCAGCCATTGCGACGAGCACTTCAGATTGTCGTACAGTATCCACTTTTCATCACAAGTAATGATTCGATTTAAAATCCCTTCATTATTGTGTCGGTTGAGCAAAGTAACACAGCAGTCGACGCGTGATTGCAAGTTTGATTCACTCAATTCATGAGGTACCCATCGTTCAAGTTTTTTTACTTTCCCAATTTGCTTCAAGTGGATTAATACAGTTTTATCACTTACCCCGAAGCCTGCAGCTATCTCTGATGTGCTTTGTGATGGATCCGCTTCCACAATAGCCTTTAATTCTTCATTTTCCACTTTGGTCTCCGGCCGTCCACGGGGTTGGTTCTGAAGGTCGAAATTTCCAGAACGAAAACGTTGAAACCAAGATTTCAATATATAGTTAGATTATTACCGTTAAAGCTTTTGTTACGTCTAATATACTCCTATAACCTATACCACTCCGATGTAATATTGCATAATCGCGCAACCCATCGGAATGCACAAGCAATTCCTTTCGTGTCCTATCCTACAATCAGAGAACATTATATGTGCCGGAACCTACAATTATTACACTTTCTTTCCCATTGTTAACGAGATGAAATCAGTTTTACTATCTCTCAATCGAGAAGGATTTGTGAAAGGCGGGATCGAGAGCAAGGTAGGCACTTATTATGTAAGTAAAGTAACATTTTATTTCCTTATTGACAATTTTTGTCATTATCTAAGAATTTGTGTTACAATTGTAAAATAGGGTCTCAAGTGGCAGTCTCGTAGATATGTTGTAATCATGATGATGACGATTGCAAAATAAGCTAGTACACTTTTAGAAAATAACGTTTGCGTTGTAACAAACATAAACTTTCTTAGTAATAAAACGCAATATTTTTGATGAGAAAAATAGTCAAGACATTTCCATTCATCCATTCCTATAAAAGTTCACTGCTGAACATAGGCCTCCCCCATAGATTACCTCATAGGGGGGATTTTTCCATAGTTGTCACGCTTGGCAGGCTAATAGGCAACCGCAGGTTTTTTTATAATTTTGATTTGTTATCGGGATGATGCTGCTGCCCATTTCCTGTTTCAGTTTCTCTCTATCAGTTCTTACGTCACCAACGGGACGATATGGAGTAGTGGATATTCTTACACCGCCAGTAGACGATCAAGTCAAGAAATTTACTTCAAGCCTAATATAAACCAAATTTCGCTGTCACACGCTGTATAAGCAAATGGTCTTCAGCCCAGCGTAATCTTGCGGTTCTCGTACTTTCACCTGTACAATGCACTTACCTGTCACTCATATAGACCATAACTTCCTAATCCGCTTACCTCACTCAAAATAATATGTACATAATTAATTATTTAATATGGCACCTGAAAATCAATAACAAAATTATCAAGAAATTAATTACGATGGTCGTTATAGATCAAGCACTCAACATAAATAATTAATCTTTAGTAACAATGTCATCGAATCATTTACGAATAATGATGATTTTGGAAAAGTTTTCCAAGTTGGTAGGACTCCTTTTATACCTAGGTCCCTCCAGGTCGATACCATCCTCTTACCTAGCTACCTTCTTTCTGCCACCAAGCAGTCGCCGATTTTAAGCGTAAGAGCCAGGCTCATGAGCCAGTTTAATAGATTGTGAGGCATTTAAATCTTAATTCTCAGGAGCAACTACGTGACCAGCAGCCTTCTTCACTTGCAGCAGTGCTAATGAGCTGCAGTAGCCACTTACGATGACAATATTTCAAACGAAAAAGGAAAGCTCTCTTTTCCGTTCTCTTCCTTCCTTTCTCTCCTTTCCTCCTAACAAGTTAAATTTTTCCGAAGTATATATATGATTGTTCGTTTTCATATTTTGGCAGACAAAACCAATTTTTATATTAACTAATTTATTTGATAAGGAGTTTTAGAGACCTTAAATAATATTTCATTTTAGAAGAATTAAACACACACAATATTTTAAATTTGCATAAACACAAAAATATAATGCGTACTGGATAGTGGATATTCTTACACCGCTACCCCATATCATCCCGTCGGTGTCGTAAGAGGTGACAGAGAGAAACAAATCAGATGAACATCAGCGTCTTCCTAATAACGACTAAAAATAAAAACAAAACTGCGGTTGCCAATCCCCTTACAAAAATAAGCCATTAAAAACATAACTTGTAAAAAAACCAAGTCTCGCAACTCAGTTCTTCTACCGTAAAAAGTTATGAGATCCATGTAATACCAAGTCGGTTAATTTATTCAGTCCCTACTTTAAGGGTCCTTCTGTCTCAAGTTATTACGTATAATTAGCTAACCTAACAACATCTTATAGTGAGCATATCAATATTAAAAATCTTTTATGTTTTAAATAAATAAATTGACTTGGCAATCGCACTAAACATTCTAATTTAATATAATATGTATTACTTGAAAGATATATTGTGTTTTGTTGTTATTAGTAATAGAATATCTATGTTTTGTCTTCTTTAAAATAATATGTACCTTTTTCGATTTTTGGATTATTTCTTAAATTATTTTTACACTTTGAATAATGAATCAAAGTTCTTGTATAAGTAGTTTTATTTCAAAAGCAGGCCTAAAGCCAACATCAATTTACAATTTACAAAAGCACTGTAGGGTTCAGCACATGATTGGAAAAAATGTAAAAAAAAAATCACCAGATGGTGGAATATCCACCTTAAAATACCCGGATAGAGACAAAAAGTAGTGATACGAGTCGGGGAAACCCGCGCCAACTATACAAATACCCCATACATCATATTGTTTTTTACTTCATTGCTAGCAGGCGATGCTAGGAGTACTATTATATATTCTGTGGCGATACATTTAAAGGAGAGCAATGTTTTTCGGGTGCGAGTTTGCAGGACCATTGTAGCCAAACGGCCTTGACGGAATTTGAAGTGCCAGGAGTCTTTAGATTTGTCTTCATTTACAATATCATTTTGTGGTAAAAAAAAAAACAGTAAATTGGTGCTTGCTTGTAGCGCTTTCTGGCGAGAGTTATATTTTTTAGATCACTGTAGGGAGTCTTTGCTTCCAATAATAATTAATTATCCATTCCTGTTGCATTTAATACCTTAATTCAAAACACTATTTTATGAGTTCCACGAATAATTGTTATTAAGGTTAAACATATCACAAAATCAAACACGAGATAAGTCATCTTATTTTAATACTCTGCGAATACACGAGATCACATGTTAGCATATTTAAATCTTAACAAATTTTCTATTCTGTCAATTAAACCTAAATTTACAATAGAAAATACTTTCGTACATTAAAAGAACAATTTTTGAGATATTTTGAGGACACGCTTACTATAAACTTACTTCAACTTAAGAAGAACAGAACTCATATCGGGTGGTAGAATAAAAAAAAATTTATAAACTATACAACATCACCATCACATTCGTTAACATTCAGGCATAAAATTACACACAGAGATGAATTAAGCGAATATTACCTATTTCAAAATAACACAAAACTTAAATAATAGATCATATTATTACTAATTATATCGCTATATATTAGGGTTATTGTTACAAAACTGTTAACCATGTTCAAGAGTCAAGAGTCCGGAATTATATTAAGATTGCTTAATATCAACGTGTCTAAATATAATTACACAATCCAAGTATATACTTAAAGCCAGGGATGCCATGCCGGGTCCATTCGGCACAGGTTGTCGTGGCTGTTGGCTGCTGTGACCAGAGTGGCAACTTTGCTATCTGGGCCGTCGAACAAAGCGAGTGAATTGAGCCGGTTCATAATTACAGTGACGGCCTTATTAACCATGTTGATTATCGTCTCGTTGTCCATTTCCATGGGTTTATTGTCGGCCGAGGTGCCAGCAGTGGGCAGTACGGATTTATCCTCCAAACGTTTCCTATAACCGGCCACCATCTCGTCGCGAAGTATCGTCCGCAAAATGGATTGGATCTGGAAATTATATTCAACTTAGCGACGATTTTAAACTTGTACAGTGTGAACGGAACCGGTTCGGCTGCAGTTTTAGTTGAGTTTTATCCTTGTTGAAGGCCAAGGAAGTTTAAACAGAGATATTAACATGAGATGCGGAGACACGTTTGCTGGATAAATCTTACTAATAAAAAGAAGAAAGAAATATGTATTTTCGTGACTATACAAATCCATGCACTATGGTTTATTGCAAATAACGACACCATTGTTATTTCAAGCAATCGCCAAAGATGTTTTTAAACCACACTATTTATAGTAAAACACAAAGAATTATAAATAATAAGAAAAAAAAAAGTATAAAAATCAAAGTATACTTATAAACGAAAATAAATAAAAAAAGACAACCAATGTTTTAGTTTGTAAAGAAAATAATCTCGAACAACAAAAATATTTCCTTATAATCTGCACGTACAGTATAAAATTAATCTGATAAAATCATTTGTGCAAACCACAATGTTTATCACGTCAAGGAGTATATTATGCGTGAACTTGACCGCGAGCAGGTTACTGTTCTTGTTTTATCGTTCAAATAACGGTTCGAAGTTGAATTTTGATATAACAGAAACATACACGGCGGAATTTTAGATGGGACGTCCAAGATTCCACAAAAAATAGTTGATTAATTAATATTTAATTAACTTTCGGATTACAAAGAAAGTTTCTTTTAATTTTAAACTTACCTGAAATAATTTATTTTAACTGAAAATTATTCTAAATTTATCTTTATTTTTCAACCGACTTCAAAAAAAGAGGAGGACTTTTTTCTAGGTGAACCGATTTTTTTGATTTTGTGGTCCCATAATTTTGATCAAGATCTGACCAGTAGTTTTTGAGTTATCCTTCATAATGCGTATTTAATTGACTTCGACCACATTGATGCTGTTTTCATTTTATTTATATTGAAGTCGGTTGTACAGAATTTATAACTTTCCCACTTTTTTGGTTTACACTTGAAAATGATGAAACTAGAGATGTTAAAGAACCGTTTCTTACTAATGTTAGTTCACTACTAATGTTACCTTAAAGTTAGGTGTGACAAGGCACCGAGCAACGGCGATTGCTGAGGCAGTCAGTGGTCCAGTGATGCCTATATTTGTAAGGAGTTCCGAGATGTTGGGCGTTAGCCGGAACGGGACGGGCCGGTTGCCGTCTAATTCGCCTGTTGAAAAACAAATGCACGAAGATGCTTATATACACGTGCTATTGAATTAAGAAGAATATTTAATTCATACATCATTCTGAGATATAAAGAAACCATCTCATCACCCTTGACTTCAACTTCCTCAAATCCGTCCGAAAGATTGCTTCGGATAGTGCCCACTATTAACGTCTTTTTTTAAATATAGAATATGGGTGACAAACGAGTAAACACTTATCCTCAATTAAGAATCAAAATACAGATGCGCTGTCACCACTGAGGACCAAGATGGAATGCCTCGTTTCCTGTGAAAAAGGTCTCCGGTTCTCTACACTCACCATACGAAACACAGTAGTATTAAGCTGCTTCTGATTGATTTTACGCTGGTAGTCTATGAGAGCGTGGTCCTACCCCGGTCGAGCCGACTCATTCGTGCTACAATCATAATATAGCTACAGTATGGCTCTACCATGATGGTCTTCCGGTTATTCCCTTTGTCAACTATCCGACCAGCGATGCGAAAGGAAAGAGCACTAATGATATGAAACACATGTTGCTTGCTTTCATCAAAAATTATAAAATACACACACGACAGTGTGTCAGCTAAGTTCGAAAAAAAAAACAAATGGGCGACGCACCAGCAGTGCGTATAATTTTAAGACGAAACATTTCGAGACACTTTCAAATCCTCAAAACTGTTAGACCTACACACTTGTAACTGTAATATCTAAAATTCCAAATTTCATATCATGAAACGGGACTCTAGGTTTCTGGAATAAACCCATTCTACAGTTCTTGAGTTATTAAGATCTGAAAAGTACCATTTATAACAGACTTCAAAAACTGAGGAAGTTGTCCTTCGGTATTCCGACTGTATGTTCTTTTTCTTGTCCTTTTTTGTATGTCTTAAACGCGATATATTTGTTATTTCTAAACTTATTTTAATGATTTTTTTTTTATTTAATAGGTTATACCATTCTTAAGGGTGGAAAAATAGGGGATTGAAGTTTCTAATGTAATTATTTAAACGACATTCTGGTTCTTACATTGAGCATTGAGTGATATTTACTTTAATCAAAACAATACATACAAATAAATAAAATTGAAGTGTCTGTTTGTAATGTTAAAATAACTACTTTCTACTAAATACATATGAAAGTATATACGGTACCAATAACAAAACAATTTTTAACATTTGTGTCTGCCTGTCTATTTGTTCCGGCTAATTTCCGAAACGGCTGATGTTATAAGGAGTAACTTAGGATACTTTTATTAGTAGTTAATTTTTATTAAGTTAATTTCTTGAAGTGTTCCTATTTTTTTTTTCTATATTTGTATATATTTTTCCCTATTTCCAAAGCTTGTTTGCTCTTTTTTTCGTTATATATTAGTTATAGTACACGAATTTGTGATTTTGTCTCCATCCTCCTCCTAGTTTTGGTTTTATAGGGCGTCAAAGCTTAAGGTGACCATATTACCCTCACGTACCTTATACATATATATTTTAATGGTCATACCTATATTTAAATTGTATTCTGTTGTCTTTTTATAGAACTGAATATACATTAGCTTGTTTATTATAGATGCGCAACATCCAATAAGTACTGATAATAAATTTTAACGTTTCGTCTATTCAGTTTGACCTCTATCAGTTTAGTTGCAATCCTTCCTCCTATTGGTTGAAGGCTATGAAATAGAAAGGAATCCATCTTTTAGAATGAAAATTAGATTTGCAGTATATACCTTACGTACAAATGTAAATACCAGTTTTGTGTAACGTGCATTTTCATATTTATAAACTTCTATAAAATAAATGAACCTACGACTTAGAGACAATCAAGAAACGAGCTTACTCCTTCTAAAAAGGCCGGCAACGCAAATGCAATTTCCTTGATGTTCCAGTTGTTCATAAGTGATGGTCGCCACTTACGTACGAGGGCGACACTGAAAGTTTTTAGACCTGGCCACTTGTAAACGATATAATAAAAAAGATAAGTTCAAATTTTGAAAATGGAAATCTTTGCCAATATTATTCTGTATGTACTATATTAATTTATCATTTGTTTACGTTTTGGCGGCAAATTGATTATTGTTGGTGTCACGTCAGCATTAATTTAACGCGACAAAATTTTCGTACAATGATTTTTTATGATTTTCGATGTTATTTAAGTCAACAAAAAAGTTATGATAGACTTCGATTGACCTTTCACGCTGAAGCCCCATCTCGTGCCACTGTTTACAACTGGTTTAATGAGTTTAAAGGCGGTCGCAATAATCTCACCGATGATCTGCGTGAGGGACGGCCTTCTACGGCGATGACTAAAGTTAACATGAGTGTTGTGCGACGTATGATAGAGACTGACAAAAGAGTGACTGTACTTATCAGCAAATTCGGACAAGCTTAGGCATCGGTATGAGTCAAGTGCACAAAATTCTCCATGAACATAAAGCGGTCAGGAAGCTTTGCGCCCGGTGGATACCTCATAATTTGACAGAGGTCCAAAACCTCCGTCGTGAAATGGTTCAAAGATTTAACGGAGGTGACTCAAATGCTGTGTTCTACATACTTACGGGTGACGAAAGCTGTATTTATTGTTATGATCCTGAAACTAAGACACAGTCTACTGTCTGTGTTTCCTTCCGAGGAGTTGCCAACTAAAGTGAAGAGAGGTCGAAGCGTAGGAAAAAAGATAGCGGCCTCGTTCTTCGGAAGGACAGGTCATAACACAACAATTGTTTTAGAGGATCGAAAAACAGTTACTGCAGAGTGCTACACTAACAATTGTTTGCCACTTGTCTTGGAAAAAGTTCCTCGAAGATCCTCCTTCACCACGACAACGCCTCGTCGCACACCGCCAAGCAAACAATCGACTACTTGGCGACGTCAGACGTGGAATTACTGGGTCACCCGCCCTATAGCCCCGACCTTGCACCTTGCGATTTTTATTTATTTCCGAAAATAAAAGAAAAACTTTTTATGGACGCCGAGAAAGCAGTGCTATGGACGAGTGGGCAAAGTGCTTTTCTCAGTAGTTCCATTGGATGCAGCGATGTATTGATATAAATGGACACTATTTTGAAAAGATATAATAAAACTAATAACTTATTAGTTTGTTCAATTTTTGATTTTCTAAGAACTTTAAGTGTCACCCTTGTACTATTATGAAAATTTGATTTAATGTGGGTTAAACCGCGGGGTGAAAAGCTGGTAAAATATGAAAATCTAGTAAATATATTCGTGGACTGGGCAGGCACAGACCGAACAGGCCAGTGGGAGAATTTAGAGTTCCATATGCGTCGAACATATGGAACTCTAAATCATGCATTAAGTGTACGACTGAAGTTTCGGTTTCTGCTTCGGCCATCTTCGGCTAAAAAACCACCTTCAGTGACACCTCCGACTGCGGCCAAAATGGGTCGAAGTTTTGATCGAAGTTGAAGGTTTCTAGAAAACGCCGAAATTGAACGAACTGTTATGAATTAGCGAGAGCGCGATGGACGTGGCGGCGATGCAATTTTTATCTAGAAGTTCATTTTAATCATTAATTAATTAATATGTAATTTTAATTACCTTTCTATATTATACACTCAATATAAAACTTTAAGCTAAAAGTTTTAAAATCATTTATATTATTAGTTTCAGCTAATCTTCAGCTAATTTTAACAGCTCCGTGGCGCAGTGGCTTAGCAATGAGTTATTGCGCTGGGGGCCGCGGATTCGAATCCCACACGGAACAAGTATTTGTATGGCCTACAAATAATTGTTCCGGGTCTGGATGTTTGTCGTCGTGCAATCTATGTTTGTAAACTGTCTCCACGATACAGGAGAAAATCCTAGTGTTTTTTTTAATAAAAAAATTAAATAACTAATTTTTTAGGGTTTTTAAACCTTCAAAAATACTTAGACCTTCGGATGGTTACTAGTTGTCTATCTGTGTTAGTTTATAAATAAGGCAGTATAGGTGGGTACCGGTGGTGTCGTCCACGTCGAACTTGAAGTATGCGACGTTGAGCAGTCCCGAGTCCTGGTGCACGTAGAGCATGTCGGGGTTGAGGCGCGTGAGGTGCAGCACGTACTCGGCGAAGGCGGCGAGCGCCAGCTGCAGCGTCAGCATCTTGCGGAACGTCCAGTAGTCGGTGGGCGCCGCGAACGTCGCCGCCGCCCACTCGCGCACCATGCCCTTCGGCACCATCGTCGCTTGCACCTGCCACGCAACCAAATGCTTTCAACGCACACGCTAAACAATCATCCATACTAAAAGATGACGAACACAAGAATTATAATTTTTTTTTGGCATCGGTCTCTTATAAAATGATAATGAATGCACTTAGTTTATATTTTTATAGCTCTTTTTAATATTTCTGTGTTAATTTACTGAAGACCTTTTGGGGATATATTATTTTTTTTTTATTTATTTTTTTTATAGGAGAGGGGGCAAACGAGCATGCGGCTCACCTGATGGTAAGTGACTACCGCCGCCCATGAACAACTGCAACACCAGGGGAATCGCAGATGCGTTGCCGGCCTTTTAAAAAGGAGTACGCTCTTTTCTTGAAGGTCCCTAAGTCGTATCGGTCCGGAAAAATCGCTGGTGGTAAACTATTCCACAAGGAAGTTGTGCGAGGAAGAAAACATCTTCTAAATCGCACAGTGGTGGACCGCCAATCATCCAGATGGTGTGGATGGTATCGGGAGTTCTGCCGCGATGTGCGTTCGTGAAATTTGGTGGCTGGGATTAATCCGAACAATTCCTCAGAGCACTCCCCATGATAAATGCGAAAGAAAATGCTAAGAGATGCAACATCTCTTCGCAGTGCCAATGAGTCGAGCCGATCGGAAAGGACTCGGTCGTCGACGATTCGAGCCGCTCTGCGCTGGATGCGGTCAAGTGGAAGAAGCTGGCACTGGGGAGCCCCAGCCCAGAGATGGGAACAGTATTCCATGTGAGGCCGAACCTGCGCCTTGTAAAGTTGCAGGCGTTGAGCCGGCATGAAATATTGTCCCGCTCTGCTGAGCACGCCAAGCTTTTTAGAGGCCAATTTGGCCTTCTCTTCCAAGTGACCACGAAACTGCACACTACTCGATATGTCGACGCCGAGGATTCCGATACTGGCTGAGGCAACAAGGGGAGTACCTTGAAACTGAGGAGATACGACAAAGGGGTTCTTTTTAGCGGTAAACGCGCAAACTTGTGTCTTCTGAGGATTAAACTGGACTAGATTTAGTCGCCCCCAATCCGAGACTTTGTCCAGCAAAGACTCGACTTCAGACACAAGTTTATTTACATCACAACAACATCTGTAAGAAAAAAAAATATTTCTTCAATTGTTATTTTCATACAAAAATAAAAATATTTTAGTTGGACCTTCTAAACGGTAATAGTCCTAGTATTAGCAAAAGAAAGCGCATGGCAGGTTAGGGGTGGAGGGGTGTAGGAGGCGGCACTTACTCATTTGAAATTGAGCTAACACCACAGAATAAGGGTGCTTACATAAAGAAACGGGTTTCCGGTACAGACAAATCTGTGCCGGTCGGTACCGATCGGTGCAGGTAAAATATTTCTGTTATCTTATGCCACAGAATAAATAATATTACTACGTACTTATGCGGTCATTTATAAAGAAACAGATTTAAACTTGTCGGTGCCGACCACCTGTACTGAGCCATACGGGTTTAAGCGTATGCCGGTGTAGTGTGTGGGATAACGAAGTTTGGATAGCCTTGGTATTTGATATTTGAACATGCCAGTTACACCATCTCTTAATTAAGCGATGTTCTATTTTATTTAATATGTAGTTAAATGTTTCTCGTGCCATCCTCGTGCAGTCATAAAACCTGTGTTCATCAAACATTATGTCTTTTATAAATAAATGATAATTAAACCCATATTTTTTCTTTTCTTGTTAATATTACAGACTAACGGTTCTTTTCTTTCTAAATTTAAAATAAATAGTTTCCAAAAGTAAAAAATCGTCGTCCAACGAACTGTAGGTCAAGGTTGACAATAAGGACAGATTTACCTATTTCTTTATGCAGGTTAACCCTGCACAGATCGGAACCGACTAGCACATATTTATTTGTATCGGAAACCTATTTCTTTATGTAAGCACCCTAAGACCTAATTACCTTTGTCGTCAGTCGCCTTTGACGCGCCTTTGAGATTAATATTGCGAACGTTGAATATTAGCATCGCAGAGATCATACGTTAGAAAATTACCTATTATAAATTTTAATTATTGTGATTTTTTTTTTATAATTCTTGATTATTTATTTATGTATGTATTATGATTTCAACACGATGTGTGATACTGATGTCAAGTGTAAAATAAGATATGCATTTTCTTTGACGATTTATTGTTTTTTTTTTTATAGAATCAGGGTGATAAACGAGCACACAGTTCAACTGATGGTAAGTGGTTGCTTTGGCACATAGACATCTACATTTGTTTGCGAATTAAAATGCAGATGCGTTGTCAGCCGTGAGGACTAAAATAGAATGCCACTTTTCCAGTAAAAAGGGTATCCGGTTCTCTACACTCACCATACGAAACACAGCAGCACTAAGCCGCTATTTTACGCTGGTATTCTGTAAGAGCATTCGTGCTACAACTATACTAATAATATAGCTGCAGCAAGGCTCTATCGCGTATAAAATTGTTTAGGTGCTACAAAATACAGGTTTAAAAGGAGTCAGAAATGACGGCAAAAATTTAAATGCGTTTTTTTTTGTAAATGTATTATATTTCGTAATGAGTCATTTCGCTAAATTTGTTTGTAATGGATGAATGGACAACCAATTTATTCCCAAAAGGTCTTTAGTAAATTAAAAATGACACTGTATATTAGTAGTAGTGATGTATATCGCCACTTCACCTTCCTTGTAAAAATATGTTTAAGCAATATTATCTGACTTCAATTATCATCGAGCAGTTTAAAATTTGCCACTGGAATACCTTATAAAAATATATCCACAAAATCAAAATACCCTTAGAATTCATACATTGAAACATATAGTCGAATCCATCAGTAGTTTAAAATAGGACGAGACAATAGTCATTTTAAAATGAAATAAACTATTTAAAACTATACTTTTGTAAACGTTATACATAATATGTTTAAAATCAATATTTATATAATTAGATGTTTAGGCTAAGATATAACTACATCTAAATAACACTATATTAAAATAACACGTAGCGTGTTATCTTAATAGAAAGTTTATAATGTATAGCAAATATATTTCATATCACATCTTTGCATGATGTCACTCTTTTCGAGTCTGTGTTAAAGCGTCATTTACCACGCATTAAAAAGCATCGCGAGCCAGGTTAAGAGTTATGGGCATATTAATTTATAAAACTACTTCTACTAAATACACACATCAACAGAATCTAGGGATATCTTAATCCTAAATTATTTACGACTTTATAGTTTAAAATCTTTTTAGTTTCCATAAAAAGTTTATACACTGATTGAAACCTCTTTTATTCTATTTTCAAGATGTGGAAATGTAAATAAATAAAAAAAAAACAATAGACAAAACAACATACGGCGACAAAATTGTTAGTAATTCGTTACTTCTAGGATAATCAAAATTGTTCTACTGATATTAATTAATGATATAAGCGCTAATTAATCTACTGATATTAATTAGCAATAATTAGATTGTTTTTATTTTTTAATTTAACGTGCCGTTTGAGCTTTGAGAGTCATGTCACGTCGTCATTTGAGTCGATATGAATGTTATAAGTCGTGGGCATGTTAGAAAATGGCGTTATTCAACGCGTCGTTGCTGAGGCCCTTCACATCAGCCAAAACGTGATGTCAAGGTTGTGGTCATTTTATCGCAGTACTGGGGATGTGCCTGAATGGCACACTGGTAGATATCGTGTTACTACGCAGAGACAGAATCGATTTCTCCAAATTACCGCCAAGCGACCAAACCGTGCGAAGGAGGTTGCATGAAGTTGTTCTACATGCTCAAAGACCACTACGTGTTCCAGCATTGCGACGTGGCAATCGCGGTCAGCGGCTTTAGTGGGCTCGGGAGCATTTGTCATGGAGTGAGGAACAATGGTCTTTAGTGCTGTTCACCGATAAGTCCCAGTTTGGGTTTCATCCGGATTTTCGAAAAACACGCGTTTAAACAACTCCAGGGAGAGTTAGCCGTCTACTGCAACCTCAGGAGGTCCACTCATACCAAGGCGGGATAATCATGGTGTGGGCAGGAATTTGTCTTGGCGGACGAACCCAGCTCGTTTGGATCCAAGGCAGCATGACTGCACAAAATACCACGACGAAGTAGTAGAGACTGTTATTGTCTCACACAGAATAAAAATGCTAATGATAATGCTCCTTCTCATACGGTGCTGGTGTCGGCCGCTCTCAGAGACCACGATATTCAAGTTTAGGATTGGCCTGCACAGTCGCCCGACTTCCTATCCTATCGAGCACGCCTGGGACATGTTACAACGAAAAGCTTTGAGAGATTTCCCGACAAATTTGACGACAGAACAACAACTTTACGAACACTTGCAAAGAACATATGACCTCATGCCGCAGCAAGACATTGACAATTTAATTTTAAGTATGAACAATCGATGTCGATGTGAAATTAATTGGTAACACTGATTAGTAATCAATAGATTTTATAAGATTTTTTCAATTTTAATTAAAATTAATAGTTTTATAATAAGAAATTAAGTTCTTTTATCATACTAATTTTCTACGGCGATCAAAAAAATTTACAAAATACGAAATGTTTTTTATTTTTTATTAAAAACCTAAAAATAACTTATTATTCTTCTATTTACTATATCAGAAAATTCATAGATTTTTAGATATTTGATGAAATATAAAAAATGCCTAGATTCTGTTGATTCAAACAAAATTTTGAAAAGATGTTTGGTTGATAGTGGTTTTAAGATTTACGGGCTTTATTGTGTAGCACAATTTTCCATTGTCCTTAGAAACACAACATACTGTACTTTCCATCTATGTTGCAGAAGGAAGTAAATGACTAGGCTGTGAAAAATCTTTATATCTATATTCTTTACATGATTCATACGCGCTCTTATGTTGATTCTTAAATATATATTATTAGCAGTAATAAACAAGTGAAAATGATTGACGTCCCGATGTCATAGTAAGCTCGGCTACCTTCAGCTTTTGAAATCAAAAACGTTTTCAAGGAAAGTCTTATTA